ATGTAAAGCAGGCCGTCAATAACATTAAATGGGGCATTAGAACTCTTCTAAACCTCAGCATTTGCCAGAATCCATGTCTTTATATTTCCCTTTATTATTCCTCCTCTCCTGCCTCTTCCCCTCCCTCCTTTCCCGTTTGGCTTCCTTTCTTCTCTGTCGCTTATTGCGTCGCAGCTCCTTCTTCTCTTGTCTAATGCGAGTTACCAAGCTGCGGAACTGTTGCTTGGTGTTCTGTATATCTTGTTTGAGAGCGCGTTGCGTTTCCTTTGACTTCATATCACTGACAACACCAGTGCCGCCACCTGGGGTGTTGGCCGAGCTATCTGCAGATCCCCTTGGCGAAAGCAAATGGGTGCCAGTGCCGCGCTTTGCTCGTTTCGTGGAGCGAAACTGCTTATGTGCTGTTCTGAGTATACGTAGTTCCTGGTGGAGGTCTGCGATATCAGAACGCTGTACGTCCATGCGAGCACGGGCTCGACTTTGTTCATGTTCCCATTGGATGCTCCCGATTTTCTCCTTGAAATCTGCAAGGCCTGCTGCGTGCCTCTGAGAATATGAGGATATACTGGAGAGAAAGGAGTCATTTGAATCTGACGACGAAGATGATGATGTTGACGATGAGGATGATGACGACGATGTCGATGACACGGATGCACTCCGCTGGCGTTGTCCCGTCTGGCTGTTCCTTCTGTGGGTATCCCATCCGCTCCACGGGTGGGCAGGTTGGTTGCCCCAGGCACCTCCCCAGCCGTGGTGAGGCACGTGGCGATATCCATGATGATGCATGTGCCCAAAAGGGCCCCAGGTTCCAGGACCTCCTCTTCCCCACCCTCTTCCCCCTCCAGGTCCGCGCGCTCCTCTTCCAAAATACTTTGCTTGCTGCTCAAAATGTTCTGCTCTAGCCTTGGCGCGCTCCTCGATCATCCGACCATACTGCAGGCTGCGTTCCTCGACCAGTTTTCCATGTGCAGTGGCCTGATCGCTGATCCATTGCCCATACTGCTCAGCACGCTCGCCAAGCTGCGTCGCCCAATTCACAATGGCATTTGTGGCGCCGGCTATTCCATTTGCTGGGGCATATCGGTGATCATATGCACCGCCGCCAGCCCCATCGGAATTGGGGTCCTCAGACGCAAACGGGGTCGTAGTGGATCCCTGCGCAGTCGCCGTGCTGACTTCCGGCGCAAGTGCTGGGGTGCTTCTTGGGTTAGGCCCGACGGGTCGGTAGGAGATTGAGCAATGTGATGAACACGAAGGGGTCGATGCAGAGCGAGCGAGATGTATCCCACTACTGAAACGCCCGCTCCGTACAGGCAATGACCTCACAGTGGAAGGGTAGCACTTTGGGCAGAGATGTGTTGCGGGAGGGGCATCAGACGATGAAACATAGGTATAGAGGATTTCAGTTGATCTAGGAACAAAGAAATATTTGTTCCACTCAGTGAAGACTGCTTCCACCCTGGCCTGGCGCTCGTCGTCCCCTTCCTGTGCACAGTCCTTGCGGTCACGCTGAATTTCGGCGCGAAGCTTACGGGGTAAATGAGACTGGCTAGCCGCTGGGCCCAAATGCAGCGGGAATATGTAATTTAGAAACGTTTCCCAGTCATGCTGGGTGATTTCAGCAGAGCGAGGCCGCAGACATTTTGGAAAACGCTGGTAATCTTTCGATTGGCTGCGGGGATAGATGGTTAAGGTATGTTGGAGAATAGGCTCCTGCGGCTGGGCTTGATGAGGAGCTGGCGGGGGACGTTCCATAAAGTACGGAGAGGCCGAGATGAAGTTCGGAATAGCAGTGACGCTGTCATAAGACGGTATTGGGGCATCATTCTCAGCCAGAGTCCGTTGCTCCGCGGCAGCCTCCGCAGTTGAGGCAAACTCGATGGTTGAAGCTGGAGTCAGTGGATCAACTGGGGTGTATGGAGGCGGGGCATCGTCCGGGGCGTCGCTGGTCGAGGCCATGCTAATGCCAAGTTCGTTCGAACTTCACGTTGGGTTGAATACTACTATGATAAACTAACTGCCTTGGTGTAGATATAGGTCTGTGGGAGGAGTTTTGGACTACAGAATGGAATAAACGGGAAAAATGGAAAAGATGTTTCGATGATCTGGTTGCAGGTCGCGATGTGATGAGAGAAAGAAAGATCAAAAGCAGACAAGAGGATCGTGGAGGATGCGTTTAACTATATATTTATGCCAAGTTCCCCGAGGCTTCTCGATCCCGGCCGCCGAAGCATTAAATTAGCTCCCCAAGTCCCGTCCGCGAGACTAGGCAGCGACATTTTTATGATTTGTTTATCGTGGGGCAATTTAATCGAGATCGAAGAAAGTCAAGCAACTGTGGCTTTGCTCCTGCTGTGTTGTCTGTCATTATTTATTATTTCCAGAACCATCTCATGGACGTGGGCCTCGTAAAATGCCCGATATTTCAATTGAAGCGTGAAAAAATCAAAGCCTTGAATGGACATAGCCTCCCCAGTTCGTACGGAGTACGGAGTACTTGGGCGAAAATTACGTGAATGTCTCTACGGCATGAGAGAAGAAAAGAGAAAGAAAAAAAGGGAACTACAACCCATACAATTGCAAGTAAATATCAGCAAAGAAATATAATAACAATAATAATAATAATAATAATAATAATAATAATAATAATAATAATAAGATGAATGGCCATCGGCTCAGCCTGCTCTTGTTAGTTCCCCGTCTCCATCATCATATTTGGCGCTGCCTCAACACGGGAATTATGTTGGTGCCTTCACGCGGTGACGTCATTCTAGAACGGCATTCCAACATTGCGCAAATGAGAACCTCGTTCTGGTTAAGAATTATCCTCGTTAGAAGAAATACTTACGGCATTAAGTGGAATTGACTACTATTTATGTGAATTACGCCTCTTTCTCAGCAGGGTGGGCGGATGTTACGCCTACAAACTGTTTTGCAGCATGGAGGCCGTACTAGTTATCTAGAATTACAATCCGGAGTCACCCAGCCTGGCAGCATTCAAGCCTTTTGGGCCATACCAGGAGGGTTAGAATGATATGTGGGATATTACTCTTAACCAAAACCTCTCCAGATTAACATAAATTTCCGTCAATTGCTACTTTTCTCTTCGTTTTCATATGGTACTGTACATACTATGCATAGATCCTTCATATACTCATCCTCAACCCTCCATTAGCACATACCACGCTGCCGGTACACCACTGCCCGTCTTTCGTACATAACATGCCCACGACACCAGCAATCTCATCCGGAAACGCCGGTCTTCTCCCTCCCATCTTCTCGCGCACGAGGATCTCATCCTCTACACTCAGCCGCTCCGCCCCTGTTCCCCTAAATCCATCGCCCACGTCAAGATTGCTACCGGGCGTATTGTCCTGCCAGCCCTGCATCGTTTTCCAAAAGTCTTCCCCCGCCTCCCAGTACATATCCCCAATAACAGGGCCCGGGTTGATCGCGTTTACCGTAGCGCAGCCTCCAAGCTCACGCGCCCATGTCCGCGTCATCGCTTCAATCGCCGCCTTGGTTCCTCCGTAGATACTCTGGCCTTCCAGCCCTAAGCTTGAACTAATACTTGAGAGGTTTACGACGCGTCCCGACCGGTCCCGGGGCAGGTAAGCAGCCACAGCTTGTGTGAGGAGCAAAGGGGCCAGCACATTGACGGTGTACACGCTGTGGAAAAAATCCCCATTAATAGGCCCGCGAACGGGGTCGTTGAGGCGGATATTTCCGCCGATGCCCGCATTGTTGATTAGGATGTCGATGGTTAAGCTGTTGGTGGAAGAATTGGTGAAATGGTTTTTGGCACTGGTGAGAATTTTGTTGACTGCTGAGGCGGGCTCACTGAGATCTGCCTGAACGCTTATACAGCGGATGGAGTGGGCATTTGTTAACTCTTCACACAGCTGGAGGGTCTGCTCCGTTGAGGAACTGGAAGTATAATTGAGAAGAAGAGAACAGCCCTTTGATGCTAAATTTTAGGCTGTGGCTGCTCCAATGCCTTTTGAGAAATCTTGTCAGTATGCGCATTCTCTTGTCTGTGTGATATCGTGGGTTAGTTGGTGAATAGTTAGTTACTGGGCTAGAGGGGACAAAGTGATTAATATATGGCATAATTATGAAAGGTATATTACCCCTTGAACCCCCTGTGATGATAGCAAACTTTCCCTCTAATGGCCTCAAACCTTCACCCGGCATCGTTTTACAATTGAACAACTTCAAGGGGTATTGCAAGACGACTTCTTCCTTTCCTCCGCGAGCTACTTACGCCAGAGGGCCTGCCTTGACTCCGCTTGATGTAGATATGTGGCTTGTGTGTACTCCGTATATATATCTCGTTCACTGCCGCTGAGATATTTGATCCATCACTGATTGGAATACCCCCAAGCTCAGACCAGCATCGGTTTTCGTGTTCCTCAATTACCCCACACGATTACACGACGAATAAAAGTAAAAGCTAATGGCATAAAACAAGGTGAGAGAGGGGCGGCTTGTCTACAGGCGTCATCATTTCGTAAGGGAGACATATTAAGCCACAGCCGAAAAGTATGTAAAAACATGCACAGGGCAATCATTATTTATCCGATGATAAAAATACTAATATGTAGTACATATACATGTAAAATATAAAAACAATGGTGACAAGAGTGGGATTCGAACCCACGCCCCTTTCGAGACCAGAACCTTAATCTGGCGCCTTGGACCGCTCGGCCATCTTGCCTGGGATGGATAATTTCGGGCGGAGAATGGTTGCTGAGCAAATCTCGCATCTATCCATCTAACTATTCAACTATTGTTCGGTTTGTCGGAAATGGTGGACGATGGATAATTTTTAAGTTTTTGTTTTAGGTTTTGAGAGAGGAGGGCTGAACTAGCCGCTTCTGGTTAAGCGCAAGCCTCCAAACGAGCCTCAGCAAAGTTCTGGATCCGAGATCTAAACCTGCTGAGAAAAAGAAGGGTGTGATAATAGATGTCTCGGCCGTTCCGACCTGTCACAACAAGCAGCATCATTGGTCTAGTGGTAGAATTCATCGTTGCCATCTGACGCTCAGAATGACCTCTGAGCAGTCATGTGACCTCAACTCGATGAGGCCCGTGTTCGATTCACGGATGATGCATTACAATATTATCTTTTTTTATTTTTCAATCCAGGGTCAATTTCGATAATTGGAAGGTACTCACTCCTCCGTACGGAGCATTAAATTGCTGCTATGGATACAATCAAACATAACATTCTAGATGCACCAAATTCCAACTTTCCATCCATAAATAGTATGATATACAAAAACATCCATCGAATAGGTCCAGAACATGAACGGAAGACCGAATTAAAACGATATAACTAATGATTATTACCACATTTACCACTCGCTCACGACCCTTCCATCACCATCATCATGGTCATGGTCATGATCATCATCAAATAAGCCCAGACACCAACCCCACCCCCAATTACCCCCCTGTCCACCCCATTCTCCGGGGCCATTTTCCCCACCACTGCGGTCCCCAGACCTTCAGCTGAGACAGTACAACTAGCTTGCGCACAAACAAATCCGTCTGGGCAACACCCGCCACCCGCACTAGCTGCACAGCTCGTCCAACCACTCGCGCATCTCCTCCCCGCTTGCCCATTAGGAGGGGACCTAGATGCATCAGGATCAATGGGCATAACGATTGTGGCGCCATTGTCATCCACGATGGTGGTTGAGGAGATTGTGGGGCAGGAAGTCGGGTTGCAGTCGCGACCGGTACGACAACAGCCGCCGTAGTAGGCCGCGCTGCAGGCGTAGAATCCCGTCGGGCAGCCAGTTATAGTTTGGGTTGTCGATGGGGGTAGGGTGATGGTGGCTGAGGGGTTAGAGGTGGGGCGGAAAGGAGGGTTTGCGGGTTTTGTATCTGTTGAGACAGGGGGGTTATATGTTGACGGTGGTGCTGGAGGCGGTGCAGGGGTATCGATGACGGTTATTGTTGAGATGTAAATGCCTGTGTTGATCAGCGTCAAGAAAATAAGAAAAACAGCAGTAGAAACTAGAAAAAAAGGAGAGAAAAGCGTACACCCCTGATCCACGCATGAGTATCCCGGGATACAACAACCACCCCCCGGGTTATAAGGACATGGACGGTAACCTTTCGCACACTCAATTAGGTCACCTGAACAGGTGGCTCCCGCAGTGCAGCATCCCACATCCCCCAAACCCGTATCCTTCACAAATATACACTTGCTTCCCGTCCCGCAGCAACTATTCGGCCTGTTGATGGACGTACACGGCTCCGTATCCACAGGACATTTGAAATTCCTCCTTCCAAACATGAGTCCCCCGTCACGCGGCGTCCATCTCGAAAACGAGCGGCCAAGGAAGGGTAATGACATGCCCCAACGTCCTCCTCCGTTGTCTGTATCTTCTCCCTTTTCGCCTGCTATATTTCCATGCAGTGGGAACGGAGGGTACAATGATGCGATTGAGCTATTCATCAAACCATCCTCCAGACCCTCCACTTTTTGATTTTCAGGGCGATTAAACCCCGCATGATCCATCGATCGACCGAAAGCTTCGTCATTCCCCCGCCGCTCCCTACTATTAGACTGCTGTTGCTGTCCTATAGAATCACCGCCAACATCGTCATCAAAATACCAATAATCCAACCAAAACTTCTCTCCCTCATCATCAGTCATCCTCCTCACTCCCACCGGCGGCTGGCCGGCGAGTCGACTCTGGATCTCCCCATCGCGTTGGACTAGTCTTTCCCGTGCGATGGCGATATTTGATATGTTATTGTTGGCGATATCCGTTGCAGCATATGTGAGTGATGTCAGTAGTTGTAAAGTGCACAGGCGAAGGACGAGGATGTGGTGAGCGGGACGGGGAGCGGGGAGAATTTGCATCAGGGTCGAATATAAAATATTTAGCTAACTACTAGCTAATCGGCTCGTTCCTGATGGTTAGCTCAAGTCTGTAGGACCAGCAACTGGTTTGGAACTGGAGAGATGCTTGCACTTGCTAGGAAGAATGAGTAAATGATACGGGAGTGTATTCTGCAGCTTGCTAAGGAATGGGAGAACTAACATAGGAGGTGATATGTTGTGTGAGATAGTTATAGTTGTATATGACTTTTGCATGTGATGTTGCGGCCAATCGCGCTCTCCAAGTGGTCAGCAGGGATGCTGGAGTAAGATATAACTAACAATGTTTTCGGTCCAACTGTTGGTTGTTTATAAATTTCCCACGCTATCACACGTAGCGGTAAAAATAGTTTATTTTATATGGTTGGAAAGTTGGCAATGGAATAATAACAATAGTATCCTGGTTTCTGCGGATTGGCGCTATTAATCCTGCTCTGTTGTTGCTTGTTTACTTCATACGGAATATATAGTTAGTATATTAACTTCCTGATCGGGTACAGTAGTCATTGCGTACTATATTCAGTTATGTCTCCCTTTAGAATGTATTTTTCAAAAGGCCCTTTGTCGTACGAGTTGCTTGTAATACTTACTTTGTCTGATTTATTTCAATTCTGAAATACGAACCTCATTCAACATAGTCATGGCGATTGTTCAGTGTGCTAGTATTCTCATAGAAACTGGCATCTTTTGAGCAGAGCAGTAATGCGGCGCAAGTGTAAAATGACGCGTTTGGGGTCTTCGTGGAAAAACCTGCGGTCGGCTCTGCGTTTAATGTTGATCGTGGAGTAGAGAGGCCTTTTGACATGGTACCAGGTCGAGCTAGATATGACCAAGGCAGTTAGTTCTAAGGGGAATAAAGTTGACCCCCTGAATGTTCCAGGGAGAGTTATCTGTTCTTCCAAGTTTAAGCTGACGGTGCTGGCCAAATATAATTTGCGGAGCGTAGCGTTGTAATATCTTTAGGTAGTTTGCAAATTCAGAACAGAGTTTACACCAGTCATCCATTTGCAATACAATTGACATCCATGTGAATGTAGAAGCGTTTTTCAAAGGCTTACCTTCGTCCCATTTTGAATGAGGGATACACTGGTCGATAAATTGTAGACCTGCCTAAAATCAGGACCTTTCTACCAGTGCTATGCCGCACGTTTTGATTGAAGCTTGGAATCAAACCCCTGCCATTCCCTGTGTCTCTTGGAATCAACATAATCAAAGGATGACGAGGCTATGGGGCTTGAATACTGCGTTGCAAAGTGATTGTTGTTTCTCAGTGCTAAGATGTGTGAGGCCGCGATTGGGGAGCCGAATATATAAGTTCATAATAAAAGCACCGTTTTCAATACTACAACAAGAGTAACAAAAATATAAAATGTAAAATAATCTGGTTTTGTTCGTATGTCGTAATGATTAATGAACGGAAATTTCATCCAAATCATCCCTCTCGTCTCAAAAGCTACGCTGCCTAGCTATCCAGTCAACAACACAGAGCCAGCCAGCCAGACCCTGCATTTGACAGCGCAGCTCTCCAGTTTCGTGCATACCCCGAAAATTAGATTTCAATAATGAACAAAAGAAATAAGAAAAAGTGCAATACATGGGGAATTGGGGTTATGCAATTATGAAGTAGACAAAGAGAAGAAAATAAAAGTGCTTCTGGGTATCGATAACAACAAAATGTGTAAGAGAGAAAAATAAACGTACGAAGGAAAAAGTAGGAAATGAACAAAGGTCCAGGTATCCAGGTATATAAATCTCTCAATGAGAAAAGAAGCCGGTAAACATATGAATAGTGTAAGACGACGTAGGGTTTGACACGAAAAGACAAAAAGAAACCAAATACCAAACGCTTTCACGAGAGCAACCGCTTGCTAGAAAACAGAGGCTTGTATAACGATACAGGGCTATGACACGGCATCTAGAACTGTTTGTGTACGGTCGGGTATTTCAAATTAGCATTAACATAAAACCAAAGCGGTAAATAAGAATAAAGGAAAAGAACAAGAAAAATGAACAACGAAAATTGAAAAGGAGACAAAGAAAAGAAAAAGAAAATCTATGAAAACGGAAATGAAGACAAAATTAAAATATACCCAATTTATGATAGAGCCCTGCGTTATCAATGGGCAACAAGATTTCAAAATAACGTGTCTCCGCCAAAAGAAGCAAACAAACGGGCCGGGGGGGGGGATGAAGGGGGAGGAGGTACTGGGAGGTGGGGTGGGGCGGAGATATCCAAAATTCAGTTGGTGAATATGGACGTGAGCCACGATGAGCGCTTACGACTCGAAGCTATGCCCCGTCACCCCTCAATGTTAGATCAACAAAAAGCCAAACTCTTTCGCGTTTTCAAACTGAGCTCATTTGTGTGTGTGTAACTTGTGAGAAATCCGCTGCTCTACATACCAGGAGCAGTTGGCGATGACGGTGTCCTCGCGGCTTCAGATTGGTCGGGAGGAGGGTCATCGCTAGAACGAGAACCACGGGCCCCTCCTTCACCAGTTGATACTGGGCTTGTATGCTCCACACCTGATCCCGCTGCCTCACTTGACTCGGTTTTTGCCTCCGACGGTTTCTCATCAGTGTGTGGAGCTTTGCTTGCTGTAGCGTTCTGCTCTGGCTCCGAGACTATGCCATTCATGCGCTCCCACACCTCCTTTCGTATCCGGTCATCTTTCGCCTTCCGCATCCGTTCGATCTCCTCAAATCCCCCACTTTTCTTCAGCTTTCCCTCCTGGACGAATTTGCCTAACTCCTTTTGGAGCTGGCCGACACTGCGGCTCTCCAGCTCTTTCTGTCTTGCCTTCTCGGCCCGTTCTATTGCTTCAAGTCGATCTTGGTGATTAGGCTGAAGTGCTCTTACTTCACCTAGTAGGTGGTCCTTGGCCTTCATCGGGTCAAGTGGCTCATCAACTGGGAAATTTCGGGATACATTTCTCAAACCCTGGGGCCCGGGGGTCGCGTTTGAGGTGGAGTGGAGACTCTGTTGTTTGGTGGCTTGTTCCACTAGGGCAAATGTCTGTGTAGCCTTCTCGAGATCGTCTTCAAGGTCAATAACCAAATCTTCCTGCATTGTGAGTTGGTCTCTCTCTTCGCACACAAGCTGCAATTCTTTTTCCCAGATCTTAGTCCATATAGGTTTCTCCCGTTTAAGGAACTCCTGCATCTTTTTCAGTTCCTTCGTCACGGCGCTGATATCACGGCCCACAGCTTCCAATT